ATTTGCTTACATGCTAACACATGCAGTCAGAAAGACTAATGAAGACCCTTTCTGGAGGATTTAAAACAATCATTGTCATCGATTTATCTGGGACAGACAAGCATTAGACTGCCAAAATCATGGGTTAGGGACATTATTAAACAATAAAACATAAACAAATAGTGAAACTTCATGGAAAGCTCTTTAAAAATGTACCATTTTGGTTACTAGCACTGTATACTACTCGAACTTTTCAACAGTGATTTGTGTTTTTGTTTTTGGTGGGATAACACATACTATTTTTGTAATAGTTAATATTTGTCATAAGCAAATTCATTCATGATTGCACATTGCACATACCTGACATGGAATACTTTTAACTTTAATTTTATCAATTGTCTATCAATGTTTAATGCTAGGATTTAAGATGATATCGTGATGATGATAATCATACCACAATCACTTATTATATATGTCAGACACTGCTCTAAGCAATTTTCATGTATAAACTCATTGATGTAACATATAGAAATGGGTTTTTACCAATAATACTTTAAGACACACAAAAAATCTCTCTTCTCCTGTATGACTCCCACGATGGCTCCTTGTAGCTCCTGAAATCCAACCGTTACAGAAGTATTTTAAAAAGTTGAAACTGGATACCAGAATAGTTTAGGTCTCTGGTTGTATTTGTGTTTAAGCTATAGTCTCTTAGCTGCAAATTCACCCATCTATACTTTACTTTGTAATACTGGTGCTGAACTGCATAGTTTTCATTTCTTCTTTAAGGATGCTTCCTACTCAGTTCTGAGAAAAGGAGGCCTTATAAGGAGATAAAAAGAAAGGAGGAAAAGGGAAGAAGGGACTTCTTCAATTTTTTTTGCTTCAGTCTTTTTTGCTGTTTCCTTATAAGGACTGTCTGGGCAATGGTCCTTCAGCCTGGCAACAGAAGTTGGCTCAGATTGTAGGTTCTTATTGTATTTCTAGGATTAGCCTCATCGTGCCCCAGATATGGCCTCATTCTTAAAGTTCTGGGCCCCAGTTCCTTAGGGGTTTTCCTTTAAGAAGATAACCTTAGCCCTTCTCCTTCCCCTCCTAGCCTTAAGACTGGTAGTTGTTTTTCTGTCTGGACTCTACTCAATACCAGGAGATTCTACAATATATTTGGTTGTGTCTGTGGCTTTTAATGAAATCCTGATCTCCTTGTCAATGGGAAATGAGATACTAGTAATTCATGACATGAAGTCACATCACAGTTAATTACAATTATTCCTTCCAGTTGATTGTAATGAAGTTCCCTGAGAAACAAGTGTCTTCTACACTTAATTATTGTAGCACATATGACGACTGCAAGAACTGTGGGTGGGATGATCTCTTTTAACTGGAGAATCTACAGACAGAAAATTTTAAGTTCAGCACTTTTAATTCTCAGTTCAAATAATAGAGAACCAAAGAGCTTTTATGACAGTCAGAAGAATTTGTTACTTTTGTAGCTGCAGGGCTGTCTTCTCTTAAAAACAAGTGGCATATTTTATTTGTGCCTATTGTAGAATTGTGATATAAATTGAAATCTTATACTTGCCATATCACTTCGGAGGAAATCAGGACATTAATTGGGAAGGAAAGTGAGGCTGAAACTTGTACAGTGACATCCGAATCGGATAAACTGAGCATTTTAGCGCCCCAAGGCTTTCTAAGATTGTCTTGCTAGTGAAAGGAATCCATCTTCCTGGGCATGACAAGGCTACCTTACTCTCGGATTAAGACACCTCAGTATCTCTGGCAGGTAAAGAGCTCCAATTCAACCAGCTAAGACACTGACTGATCGAAAAGGGTATTAGAAGGAATTAATACATATCAACTACAGTCATGTAATTAATTACAGAAATGAGGACTATAGCAACTATGCATATTATTCTTTACTAGTTATTGTTTTCATAGATATAGACACAGCTACACATATACACAAATATCATATAGACATTTAGATATACTGGTATCTATATATATATATTAAGAAGGCTTATTTTTAACCTTCCTTCTCCCCATCTCCTTACTATTTATGGGGCCAGCACGCTTCCACTGTGTCACACTGCTGAGCAGCCCTTGCTATTTTAAAGAAAGGGTTTTTTCATCATGGATAGTTTTATAATGAAGTCTTTTATTAATTATAAAAACAGGATATTCAGGTGGAACTGTAATTATAAAGGAGTATATATCACTGCTTAGAAATAGGTACTGTGATAGTTGCTTAGAGATGGATATAATAATTGGTAGAATTTTATGTATCTCCATTTTGGACAAATGATGAGAGCATTTTTGTTTGTATGGAGGATAGTTGCATCATATTATTACTATGAAACAGTATAAATATGTACAGAAGTGTGTATATGGTACTGAATAACCAAAGGAGTGAATAATGCTAGTTTGTATGCAATTATCTGTCAGCATGATATCTAATCTTCTACAATCTATTTTGTGATGCTGGGGCTAGAACTCAGCAATTTTCATTTCTTTTCTGCATCAAGGATTTCTGTGAGGTTTCGCTGGTGATGTTAGAGAGAGACAGGAAGAATGGAGGAAAGGGCAAGGAATGTTATCTCTTTTGTTGACTTGCTTTTCCTTTCCATGTTACCTTTCACCTTGAGACAACAGTTGTCTCCAGTCTCCAGTTTTTTGTGATTCTAGAACCAGTCTCATGGGTCCACCCAGAGGCATCAGTTTCAGCCCAGCCACAGCACTGCTTCAGGAATGGGATCCCAAATGTATAAGAGTTCTCCTTCCACTCCTGAGAGTCTAGCAGTGGTGGGCAAACCGCAGAGGTCTGAGACTCAGCCACCAGGAGGTCCTCCGTCGATCATCTGAGCTACCAGTATCAGCCAGGGGCCACCCTGTCCTTTGAGGTCTGATTCTCAGCTCTCGGGGGGGGAGGGGGGGCGGTTTCTTTCTGTGAAATACCAAGTTACTATCACCATCCACGTGGTGGCCCCTCCTCGGATGACTGAGTGACTGAGTCCTTCTCTATAAGATCTCTTGCCCGAGCTTCTAGGTTATTAACCTAATTCTCTTTTCTTTGGTGTCTGCTTCTGACAGTTACCATCTCTTTGTTGCTTATGTAATGGTTCAGTCTATATTAAACTCTCCATATTGAAATATCTAATCTGGTTTTTATTTTACACATTTATCATTTGGTGTCTCATGGCTGTGAGGACTGGAGTAAATCAGGTTCTCATTCAGACTCAATTCCCTATCTGTTTGATTGGGGAGAGGGTAATAGAAGGGTTAGTACTTCTAAAGTACTGTTTTCCAAATTGTTTTCCAGGGAATGCTACTCCCAAGGTTTCCTCCGGATAAAATGATACTGATACTTATATACACTTGGGAAAGGTTATAATACTGTAACAAACTATCAGACACTTGTGCACATAAGCAAATAAAGGTTGTGAGAACTCCAGCAAAAAAGAAACATGTTTCACTTTGACTCAATATCGTTCCCCAAATTATTTGGCTAGGAAAACTGTTTTATTTTCAGTTAACCTCTATGACTATGCCATGACATACATTGAGAAATGGCATTCTCTGGAATACTGAGAAATTCAAATGTTTTATAATTTTATGAACTTTTTCTTCAAAATCCCCTTACTAGTGAAGAATCTAATGCCTACAATTCTTTCCTTGGTTTAATTTATCTGTTTCAGCTCTTAGCATAAATACTGACTACAAGTATTCTTCTTTGCAGTGAGATGTAGAATGCATGCTGAGGAAGGGCATGGAAAATATAAGAACCCAAGGAAAATTATTACAATAAAATGAAATACAAGGTGAGAGGATACCAGAGGGGATGAAAGCATAGAGTCATGTTGCATTAGGATGAGGATATGTAGGTTTATGGTTCAGTGAACAAGCTATGGATTCACACTGCTGGGTATGATTCTCACCTATAGCACCTGAGTGCTATTTGATTTTAAACAAAATTAGCCATCTTCTCTGAGCCTTGGTTTTCTCATCTTGAAATAGAGATAATAGCAGTATATACTTTACAGGTTTGTGGGGGAGATTAAATATGACATAGTCTATAAGATGATTGACAACTACTTGATAGTTATTAATAATTATTTAGGGTATACCTGTATAATTACACTGATTCCGTTTAGAAAAGAACAGTTATGAAGCAAACATAAGTTGTTCAAAATGGGAGAGTCTTTAGAGGATGTCTAATTCAGCCCTCTCATTCTGTAGGTGAGGATAGAGCTGAATCTCCCAAACACTATATTTGGTTAAGGAGCTAAAAAATAGGGAAGTTGGATAGAGACTTCAGTCTCTCCACCCTTAAAAGTGCTATTTCAATTAAACTCAAAGTCATTTAGCTGTAGCAGTTCTTGTATTTTTCTGGATAAAGGCAAGAGTAGTAGGACCAAAATATTGTTTTCTCAGTTCAGGGCTCAAGGTGATCCCCATAATGTATAAGGCCTACGACATCTAATGAAAGGTTTGTCTAAACAACACTGTGTGCTTTCTCCTCCTCCTAGTTCTTGTTTTCCTGTAACAATCCTGTGTGAGAGAGACAATGTGAGAGTAAGCATCAGGAACAACTGGAATAGTGGAAAGGGAGAAGATCATCTCATTCATTTTTCGTTGTTGGTTGAGCAGGAGGGAGAGGAACAATTGACTATTTGAATATGTTATAAAATCAAATCTTTGTTCAGAGCTAGGTGACTAAGCCTGGTTGGCTCGTTCCTTCTACCTCGCAGAATCACCAAGGCACTAACATTGAGGGAGAGGTAACCATGTCACTTCCCCATACCTAAACAAACTCTTCTCAGCTTCATGAAACAGATCCAGAGAACCATGTTTAAAGCTGTTTTATTTAGCATTATACTTAGAACAATGGAAAACACAAGAGATAACCATAGTCATAGTATACAAGGCTTTCTTATGATCACTAATTTTTTTCTACAACTTCATGGAATTATGGTAAACATATTATCTTTAAAGGGTAATTTAAAGTGACGAAACAACATTGTATTTTAATCCAACCCAAGCTATGTACATATGCATACATAATTTATGAGACATGTATAATTTATATGTATACAAACAGCACATTTTACTGAGGTAAAAGAGCGCAGCGAGGTTAAAAACAAATGGCTAAGTTCAATGTAGGCTTTACAATGCCACTGAAAAGTCACTTACTAGCATAAAGGCCTCCAACATGCTGTATTAACATACTGATAAATATTTAGACTGTATTTATATTTTCCTCTATTGGAAACCAAGCCAAAATAAATGTATTTAAGGCAACCTTTGGAAGTGTCAGCATTTCTTCTTTGATCTGCCTTGTGATAAATGTTATTCACAGTGACAATTAAAAATATCGAGCAATCAAGGACAAAGGTTGTTGGCGAATTCATCTTGAACCTATCTTATCCTCATAAAAATTTTCTCTAATGTACAAAAAAAAAGTCATGTTTTTCAGTAACCTTCAACTCTCAATTTTGAGGGATAACATTATTGCTTTTTGGCTCCTACGTGCTTACTCAAAGACATGTGTTACAAATTTCCAATTATGATTTCATGTTCTGAAAAGTATCTACACAAGTCTCAATGCTATTTTAAAAAAAATACAGAAAATAAGAACCTATAGAACACAGGTTGTCCTGGCTGCAAGCTAATCAACAGTGCTACTCACATCCATTGTGTCTTTGGAAAGATAAACTACCCAATATACAAGGTTGAATCCTGCAAATGCAACTGGGAAGAGAATTCGAGAATACTGGTCTATTTTACTGGTGCCTCCAAAGGCTGGTGAGAGTGGTGGGGGCGTGGCAGGTGTTGGTTGTAAGACGGGCGCTCTAGTGAGGACTTTATTAGCCTCAGGGGATGGAACTATTGGCAAAGTCAGAGAAGTGATTCTTTTCTTCAGGTGGTATCTGGAATCAGGATGCTGCAGAAAAAAAGGCAAATATTCAACCTAAGTAAGGGAATAGGGATCACTTATTTAGGCATTCATTTTTTTCACCATTGACAAACATTTGTTGACTATTTACTTAATATTTAAAGTAAAACATCTGAATATTCTTAATACTATTTGATAGTTCCTCTTTTCAAAAAAAAAAGGTAAAACACATTTTAAAAGAATTGATTTGCTCCCTCTCATTCAACATCCTATAATTCAATATATCAGCAATTAATAACAAGCATGGTCAATGGTCCAGAAACTGTATTGGGCATTGTACAGTTAGGAAAAATGCACCAGGTTGTAGAGGCATACCCATTCCTGGTTATGCATAAGCTTGTAGGGCAATGCATGCAGGAAATGGTGTGTTGGAGAGGGGAGTGGATTCCAATTTGGAATACGCGGATAATTAGTTAATACAAGAAAAGTACAACTTGGTCCCCTGATCTCACTCTTCTGTACACATGCCCAGCCTACATTCTTATCTTCACACACACATTTGAACTAGTTGAATTAAAAAAAAAAAATCATCCCATGTATGTCTAAGACCAGTGACAAAGAACATTCTTAACTTGAGTAGGACGAATATTCATACCTTGATATATACCTGCCCCTTAAGAGCCCAGAAGTTCTATATTGAGAACTTCCTAATTCCTATTCAGAACTTCGTCACTGGTCTCCCTGTATCTTATGTCACCAAAAACAATTCATTTACTAATGTCAGAATTATTATGTTCTTTTCTATCATTAGCCTTTCCATTCCACTGAAATCATACAACAATCAACTTTAGTCTTGAAAGGGGTGTTTCACACCTTAACTGACTGGCAAAAAGGCTAGGAGCCAGATATGGCAACCACCTTGGCCGTGGTTGCACTGGTAGCAATAGATTCCACTGGTCAATTTCAGTGCTTGTTTTATCCCAGCATTTTTTCATCTTTTCTGTAAAGTGTTGGGCCTAGTTCAGAGACTTGGATTTTGTTTGATTCAGACTCCTTTCATGCTGCTGGAGTCTAGGGGGCCTTCCTCTGACTTCTATCTTTTCTTGTCCACATCCTGTAACAATCACTCTCCTTGGGGCCAGGTTGTCCTTGCTGGGTCTCTGACTTCAAACACTTGCTGTACATTACCCCTGATCTTATAAAATGGCCTGTTTCCTCTCTGGCAGCAAAATTACCACTTTGCTGCCTGGCAGGGTATGTTACTCACGTGGGCAAACTCCTGTGGCTTCAGCCAGCAACCCTGCGGCAACAGGATACGACAGCTGCCTACCCTGTGCTGGTTGAGCCACAGGACCAAAATGACCCGCCGATGTGGTGACATTTGGACTGCAGGAACAACAACCCCAAAAGCTTCTTTCTTGATTCCCCTCCTGAGTTTTGCTATTTCATTTTCTGTAGAAGTTACTATCTAAATAATAATAGTCATCAGAGAGAGCTTAAACTCTGAGTGTTTTTAAGGGATATGGTAAATCTGTTTCTTCACCAGAAACAAAAATGAATAGTATAGTCAAGCCTGATTTGACATAACCATAGTGAAATTCAAGCAAAGAATATCTTTCTTATCTCTTGGCCTGGAACTGTGGTAGGCGCTGTGGACAGAATTAAATAATTCATAGGCCTTGGAGATAGAGGACTGTTTAAAATATTAGAGGGCTTAGTATGCTGATCTTAGAGATGAAATAAGTGACACGTTCTATTAAAAATAGATGACAGCTGATGACTACTGTGCCGAGGGTCACCAGACTATCTGTGGATAGGACCAGAGCAACAGTACTTTGGTCTGAATGCTTGTTGCCTCTCTAACAGAATAAACAAAGCACTGACTTACAACAGTATGCTATCATGTTTCTTAGATTCTAATTTGAATGTCATAAAAAACATTCTCTACCTTAAAGAGTAAAATGTGTCAACTTTTTATCCTCCAAAGATAATCATTCTCCTCCCACACTAAAATACTTTCCTCTAGTAAAATTTCTAAAGACCATGATGGAGTAGAAAGAGGGCAAGCCTCCAGGGTAGATTTTCTTTCTAGATGCATCTTGACTTTTAATAGCATGCATTACCTGTATAAAACCTGTTTTTTTTTTTTCTTTCTATTTTAGGCAGAAGGACAGACATGCCTAGTTCATTGGCACAAAAAAGTGACTTTAAAACATAAAGTGCCATAAAAATGAAAAGCAATGTTTATTCTCAACTTTTTCTTCAGAAATGTGTAGAGAAAAGATATTTGTGCCTCTCTGGGCTCTGTCACATTATCACAAAAGACTTAATGAGTATTGCCAAATAACCAATGTTCAGAGTTAAGAGACATCATTCAGAACCAAAAATCCACGGAAATTTTAAGTAAAATGGCAATAGCCTAGAGTTAAAGACCCTTATAATTGGATTTCCCTTTTCCTCATCTATTTACCCAAACAATCTCTATGGGGGGTTTCCCAGGAGTTAAGAGAACAGGAGAATCAGAAATCCCTAGCTAACAATTCCATATCTACTATTTGCTTGACATAGACATAGGTTCTGTGACATAGACATAGGTCTCATAGAATTTAATTCTCCTTAAAGCTTCAAGTGACTATCTTTCAAGGTAAGGACAACTATGACTTGCCTCATAATTTTTTCCTGTTTTTTTAAATAATTTGAGATAATACATAATATATAGATACATACACACATATATACATATACACATTTGCACAGCAAATCTTCGCTCTTTCTATATTTTTCAACTTTTGCAAAATATGTCTGCTTCCATTCTCACCTCTCACCTACTTTTACTTCATTTCTTTGTTTTCTGTATTAACATCCACTTGCCACCCTATCTTTTATCTTCTCTTCACATCTTTTGATACCAAATTTATGTACCGCCTAATATCACTGATTATCCCAGCTCTTATCTACTTTTCTGACTACTTAGCAATTATAACTCTTGTAGCTGCTATATGCTCTCTTGTAAGTATAATTATTTCTGTTGAAGCTTATCTTCTTTCCTGGAATGAAAGCTCCCTAGTGGTAGAGGAAACGTTATCATCATGTATGAATGCTCCACAGTGCTTAGCAAGTGCATAGAACATAGTATATGTTTGATAAACACATGCTGACTCAACAAATGAAAGAAAATCTAAATAATTTCCAAGATTTGGTGGAGGAAGCAGGCAAAGAGGGGAACAAAAAGTTTTATGATTATGGTTACATTGCACTTTAATATGTTATTTTATATTATTTTTGTGTGTGTGTATGAAATTTCTCAATTTTTAATGTTGGCAACAATTTTTTTTTACTTTGGCATATTATGGGGGTACAGGTTTTAAGATTTCAATAAATGCCCTTTTGCCCCTCCCTCCACAAGTCTGAGTTTCCAGCATGACCATCCCCCAGATGGTACACATCTCACTCATTATGTATGTATTACAGGTGTCATTTCTAAATGCTTACTATTGACAAGCATTACAAAACAATATGCAAGCATTATTTCACTTACCCATTGAAAATAATCTACAATGTCATGTAATTATTTTCATTTTAGGGGATAGCAAATGAAAGCTGAAGCAAGAAACTCACACAGGTAATAAGTGCCAGGCCTTGGATTCAATCCCTCTCAGAAGTAAAAGAACATACTCTTAACCGTTATTATGCTATTTTCCCCATCAACTTTATGGTTTAGGGCACAGTTTCTCAATCTCAGAATTACTGACATTTTGGGTTGGATTATTCTTTGTTGTGGGGATTGTCCTGTGCCTCCTGGGACACTGAGCAGCATCCATGGCCTCTATCAACAAGATGCCAGTAGCACCCCCAACCTCAAGTTTTAACAATCAAAAATATCTCCAGACATTGCCAAATGTCCTTCAGGGTAAAATAACCTCCAACTGAGAATTACTAGGTTAGGGTTACAACTGTCCCACTGCCCAGTGACCGATGGGGAGGAGGGATTTCTAGCAGGCAGCAAATGTGATAGGCTAAAGGAAATGCAAGAGGTCTGGCTACCCTGCACACCAGATCATCGGCTGTTGAATAATTGGGAACTGGCAGCACAAGGAGACTGGACGTCAATTTAGAAGGAACACATTGAATTTCTGATATGCGAAGAAAGCCAATCTTGCAAGCCATTCAAGCTACAGGTTTGCCTTGGTTCCGCCTGCTCTATTGTAAGCCTAGCAGCTTCAGCTGATGGTAAAATAGGCTTTTGTCAGAGTCCAGATGAGGGCTCAGCTTGGGGCTGTCACTGTTTTGAGTGGAACACCTGTGGTTTTGAATTTTTCCAGGGCTCCCCTGCTGCTGAGTGCCATCCTGCTTTAGGTATTTATAGAGCACTGCTTTGTTTTAAGTAATGCCATATTGCAAAGGTTCTTTGAGTCAAACTGGACTTTATGACAATCAATTATTCGATATAGGGATAAGGTATTTGGGACATATTTAGATCCATTTTGATACATCATTCAGTGAGTCAAATATTATTTAAAGGAGGAGGCAATAGATTATCTCTCATTAGATATATTTGAACCAGACCTGCACTAGTGAAGGGCTAAATAAAGCACCTATTTTTATAACCAGATAATAAAGGCACCAAAAAAATGAGAAAAAAAAATTGAAAATATTTAGTTTTTGATATTTTTCAATACCACCATAATCATTATGGGGAAAATTAGAACTCCTTTGAATTTTCTTGCATTTATGTTATAATTGGTAGATTTGAGAGCAGAGACAAACCCAGAATTTCTACAGAGAAGCAGCTTATTGGCAGCAATCTAGTTGGTCCATGGTGCTAGGAGATGTGTCTGGAAACCAAATTAGAATGTTTGGAGGGTTCAGAATGAAGTATTGCACAGAAATTTAATAGAAGGTATGTGGAAAGAGTTAACCACCTACATCCCTCATCTGACCTACCCCAGCTTCCCCATAAACCATACAACGGCACAGCCATCAAGAAGGAACATCAGGATCTTTCTAATGCTTAGAGTCTTTAATGTTCTTAATTTAACCCTTAATTCTAGAGAATAAGGACAAAACTCAAAAAAGTCTTTGCAATATTTGGAACTGGTAAGGTAAGGCTTTCAGTATTCCATCCTTCAAATCTCTCTCTATAGGCAAGGGCAGCATGGCAATGGCCCAGTACACATCTCCACATGAGATCTTCTTGAAGAAGAGGACGGGAGGATATATATCTTATTTCCCTCTCTATGTTCACTTTTCTAGCAACTGGCCTAGCGCTTCAAGTGCAAGGCTAGGCTCATCATTCTGTTCTCAGCATAGACATCACTCATTTAGAAGTGAAGACCCCTCCAGACTGAATTACACAATCTTGCATGTACTATTCTTCTCTAACGACAGCCTTTTTCACAGTGTTTTGTTACAGCTCATTGATTTGTTTCTCTTCCTGCCAGACAAGAAGCTCCGTGAGGGAAGGGACCCTCCTGACATCACTCACTAGTATAATCTCAGCCTTCTACAGGAGCCTGACACATAAAAGCACTTGTCAAATACTTATGGTATGCATAATTCAATGAATAAATAAGTACTCGATGCATGCCAGATGAAAAGAAAAAAAGAAGAAAACGAATGAACAATGTAATCACTATCAATACCGTTATTGTCCTGACTAATGAAATTTTGGTCATTTACAAAAAGTGTCACACCCCTGTGAAGAAGAGAAGCCACACTGGGAGTAATAACAATACCTAAAAGGAGGTATAGATGGAGTGGGTGGGAGATTCATTCTCAGCAACACAGCGATGAGGAGTTAGACCTTTAAAATAACAAGGAAACCAGCAAAACATGCAAAAAGACGTCAAGGACCAAAGTGGTCTTAGAAGTGGTATAGGTGTAGGTATATTCCAGAGACATGATAGGCTCTGAAACCATGAAGGCAGGAATAACTATCTAATGTTAAGGTAGCATACTAGATAAAAAAAAATAATAAGAAAATACAACAGGAAAGAAGCTATTCACAATTTTTTTTCAAAACCTAAAAATAAATAAGTCTCAAATTCCAAAGGCCTTAAAAACAGAAAGATAATTAGTCTATAGGGCATTTCTGAGGATTTAGATTTAAGGTATCTCTTGGGGTTTGAGTCCTAACTTCTAAATGCCTGAATTTCTTTGTCATTATTATATTAAATTCCAAGGTCAAAATCAAAGAGGTAAAGTTATAAACTTTTATCCACATCCATTCTAAGTAGTTTCCTATGAAAAGCAATGAACATATTAAAATATACAACTTAGAATCACATAAAATATGCACACACTGAATTTTGTTTCAAGTTCATCATGTTAGTTTCCTATTTCAGTATCTGACTTATTCAAGTAATGTTGTTTTGATTACAACTGAATAGGTATTTTTAAATGTCATGGTATTTTAAAGAAATGTCTTGCAATCATAATATACCATTGTATAGTATAAATTGCAAATGTGTAATTTATGTTTGTTCCTGTATTTTATGTAAGACGAGTTGCCAAGTTTTGAGATGAACAAATAAAAGGTAAATGGTCTATGTAATCTCCTATAATTATTTTTGATACTTTCAAGGTTTACATTGTTTGGTTTGGTTGTTTTTGTTTTTATTTTTATTTTTACATGCTGGCCTTTTAGAAGCAAAATTTTCCTATTTATTGCTTTAAAATATTTTCAATAAAACCAAGTTCAGAAATACATTTTTTCATAAGAAAAAAAAAAGTAACTTGTAAGAAAAAAGTACTTGGAGATGATTTAAATGCAATTTTTTATCCAGCTTCCCAAAGGACTTACTTATATGTTACTATTTTGGGATCGTAGGAGATAGTTTATATAAAGACCTGGTATATTAAATTCCATCTTATTAATAAATTATGCCTTTAGAATAATAGCCTGAGGGGATGATTACTCTACATTTTCTCTAAGGATTTGCAATCGTAATCCTCTCAGTACTATATGTTTCCAAAGAGTTGAAGTAAATAACTTGGTCTTTCTTTTTATTTCAATATCTGCCAAGTGAGCATATTCAAAATCATTCTGTTTTTAACAGACTTCACTCTTCATTTTTTCTATATTTCTCAAATAATAAGTAATGATAAACTGAATTCCAATAAACAATTTTTCCTCATTTAAGGGTATATGTTAAGATAATATATGACCTTTGGATAATATACAGATTATATACTTATTAATATATAAGACAGCTTATAACAGAATCATATCATAAAAAGAATCTCAAAAACATCTGGAATTTATCTCGCCTCAAAAAATGGTCTTCAAATGTTTTGGACTAAGCCTGCAAACTAGCATATTTTTGTTACAAGATTTACATTTTGATGACCTTTGAAACCACATGTATATGAAGAAAACATCATTAAATCAACGGAAGAATTTTGGGAATTATCTACATTTTCAAAATGTATTTTCCAGTGATATGCAGCCTGATATATTTCAGTCTTTAGAGGAATTTTAGGGGTGCGGGTAGGTTCAGCCTCTGTAATGTTGTGGATATCAGGAGTTCTTTTATTAATTCACAGTTTTCCTACCAACTAGTAACTAATATTTTCCCTTTTGAACTTCCTTTTCCCACTTGTAAAAGAATATAATTAGGCTGGACCACTGGATGGCAAACTTTTTTTTTTTTTTTAATGAGAGAAAATGTTTTAAAACCTTTAAATTCTGTATTTCCACTTATTTTGAGAATGGCTTCTTATTTCTTGCAGGAAATGTAAATTTTCAAACAAGTTTCTTAGTTTATCAAAGAGAAAATTTTCAAAAGAAAATGATCACCTTTTTAGCCAATCAATAAATCCCTCGGTTTGGGAGAAATAAAACACACAAAGCTTTATAATTTTTATCATAAAGCTTAACTGAGGATTACTGGGCTGCATGTGGTCTTGAAATCTGAAAATGTTTACTAGAATTGATCAATTAGAGAGGAATTTCCAGTTCAAAGTATCTGTATTACTCTATTTTACAGAGCAAAATTCTCCTCTTTTCTAAGACTTACTCTTTAGAGTTTGTATTAAAATAAAATTGTATGCTATCAACGAGTTTTATAATCCATTTTTAAAAGTATGTTCAGTTTAATTATTGTTAGAATTTACCATTACATGAAATGGAAATTCGGGGGCACATTTATGGCCTTTGAATTATTAATGATATCATTTGTTTCTTATACAAAAACCTTTGGGACCAAAGATAAGCCACAGAAAATTTAACAGAAATTCATAACTATTTCTCACTGAATATAAACCATTGAATATAAATTCATTGATATACATATATTTAACATATAAATGTGAATATAGAATGTTTTAATATGGATCAAATACTTAGGTTATGACTCGGAATTCAGAGACCCTATTATTCACTACTCACAGAAGCCTTGCTCTCATGAAATAAAGCAGATTTCTAGCAAAAATGATCCATTCCATAAAAGTTTCTGTTTCTCTGTTTCTTTCAGACTGTGAAGCCTCATTAGGACTTTTTTTTTTTTTTTTACTCTCTTCTCCTTAGTTGGTATAAGTGATCCTGTTCAAAGGAAACATCTAAAGGCTAAGAAGAATTTTCTAGTCTCCTCTGAGAGCCTGGAGTCTTCCAGTACAAGTGAGGGTGATGAAAGAAGAATGCCAAAAGTTTAGAGCAAAGATAAATGAAAGATTGTTCTTTAGCTTTTATCTGTGAAGTTGGAAGAGAAATTGGCCTTTGCTATTGGAACTGGAGTTATGTAACTTGTGCCCAACTAACATTACTTTTAGACTCTGTAGTTGTTTGTGATCACTGTTGGGGCTGCGTTGTCCTATGGTGTGCGACATTAGAAAAAGTAAACAATTACCAAAACAATCTCGGCTTCCAAGGGTTCAGTTGCCTTCGATATTGTCACTGGGGTTGAGGCTGCAATCTGTGCCTTCTTCTTGGCCCTTTGTGTCTGAAGATTGGTGAAGTAGTTGACAGCTGCGAACTCAATAAGAGCAGAGAATACGAAAGCAAAGCAAACAGCTATGAACCAATCCATAGCAGTTGCGTAGGACACCTTTGGCAAGGAGTGCCGGGCACTGATGCTCAAAGTGGTCATGGTTAAAACAGTGGTGATCCCTGCAATGCGAAAGAATAGGAAATGCACGTAAGCACTGGGAATGCTACAGCAAGATCAAATGAAAACATATTAGTAGAGGGAAGGACATACCTTATCAATGCTAAGTAATTTTTGTTATTTTATTTTACTATAATTGCTCATAATTATTATCATAGGTATCATCTTATTTTGTACACCTTAATATTTAGTCCAGTGACTTTTTATATTATAGTTCTCAAAAAATATTTCCTGAATTGAAGTAGTTTAACTATTGTAAAATTTAAGTCGTAAATAGTTCTAGTTGTTTAGTGCTTAAGAAAACTTATAACAAATTATTATCACTGAAGTAAAACAAAATCACCTTCAATTTCTGATCAATTTCACTAGCTAATCATATCTTTCATTATAGTTATAAATTCTATCTGGTGTGAATATTAGCATAAAATTAGGTTACTCATTTTTTTTTTATTTCTAGTCTGGTTTTAAGGCAAAATATTTACTCAAAATAAATTGTATCATTCATCTTCTAGCAATTTTCCTTCTTGAACTAAGACTTGGGGAATTTATACAGTTAGGGGATGTGTAACACTGATGGTTAATATCATTATGTAGACATTCTTTTATAATTTGCAAAAAGAGATCTGTTCAGTATAATAGATTTTAAAAATCAAGATTCACCTGAGATTTCAGTTTAACTCAAGTCCTCCCTTCCTGTAGACTACTAAATGTACAATCATGAGAACCCAGTAAAAAACTGGACTGTTACTGGTAATATTTTCAATTATAACTCTTTTTCTTATAATTTCATTTTGCCCCATCAAAACTAGTAGTTATTCTATGCATCAAAAGTGGAATTAAATATTTAGGTCAAAACATAGGAAATTGGTGATATTTAACTACATTTAGAGCTGCAAAAGTGACAATTTTCTATGGTTCAATCTAATAAAAGCGAGATACAATTTATGGATTAATGGGTTCAATATCTTAGCCTTTTCTTTCATGGATTTACCTGTCAGTTTTAACCTTTCTGCTTTTCTTCAGTTATGAAAAAGCAAATCAAGATAAAACACTGCTAAATGAGGCACATGAAAGTCATAGGAAGCCAGCCAAAATTCTTGCTGAAACAAATTTTTTGTTGATGCTCCACATAACTTGCAATAAGATTAGGGTCATTTTAAATGATAACATATGTCTGAGTGAGACAGAAGTCTATTTCCTTTGTGGATTGGAAAAGTGCATCGGTGTGAATATTCACCCAAAATACACAAACAATGAGAGGTGGAGGATGAATAGAAGTGGAGCATGAAGTGTGAGGCATACCAAAGACAGTTCTTGCCGGCACAGACTCCTTATTAATCCAGAAAGACACCTGGGAAAGAATGACCGTCATAATGCAAGGAGTATATATCTGTATCATGAAGTAGCCCATCTTCCTTTGCAAGTGGAAATAAACTGTCATTATTACATATTCACCTGTTGGATGACACGTACATCAGTATTATTATTGCTGACAGTCTGCAAAAAGAAAACACTTGAATATAAATCTTGAAGATTCTTAAATTAGCATGAAATGGAAGGAAACAAGCTAAGGCACATTTCAATGTATGAAAAAGCAACTTGATCAGCAGGTGATATAGCAAAGAAACACACCAATTCATTGTTTTCAGTGGGGTTCTTTGTGTCATACACATATAAAACTACCCACTTCAGGAATATACAAATCTTTATATGCACCTGGTTGTGAAATCAATTTGAAAGAAAGCTACTCATCACTTCAAAACAGCATGCATACCTGAGAATGGCTAATGTAAAGGAAAAAAAATAGATGCTTTGAAAATGTGCACTGGGGTCACCTTGCAGGATGACATGCATGCATTGATCAAAATCTTACCTGTGTTAGATTTAATTGTCTCACTAGATACTGTTTGTCCAATCAGATCATACTGGAGGAGGCTTGAAGATTCTTCTGGGACTTCTACTGAGTAAAGTGGTCCTTTTTTCCATGTATATATGATTTCACTTTTGGGGTAAGCATCTAAATTTTTGATACAAATTAAACATAGCAGTAAATATGACTAGATGTTAGTTGTCTTTTTGTTTCCTTCAAAGTATTGTCTATATAAAAAAAGAAATAAAAATAAACAAATTTTCTTTAATGTTTTTCTTTAATCTTAGTGACTAAAACCTCCATTTATGAGACTGACAGATAGGATTAAGTAAGTCTATTTCTGGAGCACACTAAAAGTGTCATGGTAACATTTCTTTCTTGCTTTCTAGTCTCTGACTAAAACAAAATAATTACATATTTTAAATGCATTATTTGACTCTCAGAAGCTTTTTGTAACTTACAACTCCCAAACTTGAGTGGACAAGCATGCCCGTCCATAGGAAAGTTAACCAACCTCATGGGACAGTCAGCATTGATGGTAAGCCTAGGGACATTGAAATAAAAGGTTCTGAGTTAGTATGATGGAAGTATCATTTAGTCAGGGAACACAGAACTGGAGAAACCTCACCTCATGGTGTAAAGAATGGTTCCGTTCTGCATTATTCTGAAGAGTTTATTAGGAGTTGTCATGTTGTGAGCAATTGACTTTTTGCCATTCCTGAAAAATGTGTCAGGGGTCCAGATTTTACTGACCATTAAGTTATTCAAACTCAGAATCTCAGCTGGCCCCCCAAACTTCAACCTCTCATCAGTCCAAGTCTGACGGAAGAAAACATCCATTGTATACTCCTAAGAAAAAATAAAATATGCACGCAGGCTGAGTTTGTTAAGAATAGTTTACTCACTAGCGTATATAAACCTAATCCCAAAACTCAAGCAATAAAGCAGCTTTTTATGGCAATAACTTCTCAGTACAATTATCATGAGTTATTAGCTTTCTTGAGCTCAGAAACTTGGTATTATTATAAAATTTAGTGCTGTGTTGCATAATTCTCCCTCCTCCACCTCCACTCTCCTCACCATTCTTCCTCTTTATCTGTCCAGCTCTCCACCTACCAAAATCTCCTTCCTTAATTTAGAAAAAAAAAAAAATAGATGAAAACACTTAGCCTAGGCTTTGTGCTGACCTTCCTACTATCAGCTAGTCTAGCCATTCCCCTCTGTTCCTCATTCACCCTGAAAGAAATCTCAGTGCCTCACAGTACCATTTAGCACAAAGTTCCAAGGACAGATAAACTTTACTTGGTAAACACACTATGGCTGCAAATCATATTTATTTTCTATTGCTCTCAGGGAACATAAAAACAAATGTTACCATGATTATTCTAAAGAGAGTTATCATTTAACTATACATAATCAAAATTATGAGTTTTAATTTGTGGCTCTTATGATGTAACATTAAATATTTAAGAATTATGATAAAGACTATTGCAAAATTGAATGACAAATAACAACTTGTAATTATGTCAAAACATTGACAAAAATTGCTTTGCCTGCTTTATAAATTCCTTTATGAGACTTATTACTGTAGTGATTATATTTTAAAATATAATTTGACATGCAATATACACATACAGTAATGATCCAGGCTACAATAGAGATCTATTATACAAATGAACTTTAAAAGAAAACACAGGCATAAGATATATTCCAAGTATACCCAGATTTCAGTAATATAGTAGAAAACGGTAGTGGTTGTTTATACTTCGAGTGACTCAGTACTCAACTGAAAAATATGACACCAAAATAATTCAGGATTTTTAATAATGCTGACTCTGCTTTCCCCTTAAGTCTTAAGATATTTATCTCTGGAATAAAGTAAACCTTTCCTCCCTCCTTCCCCTTCTTCCTTGTTTTCTTCCTTCCTTTCCTCCCCCCTTTTTTCTCTTCCTCCTCTACTCCTTCCTTTTCCCTTTCTTTCTATCGGCCGTATTTTTCTTTCTTCTATTCTTGTAAACTCATAAAGCAGACAATGAAAAAATCCCCAATAACTGTTTATCCAGAATTACATTTTCTTAACAAAATCTAATGATGCATTTATTTAAAGACAGCTATGTTTATTTCAGCATTAGTATTCATGTTTTAGTTTCAGATGGAAATGCTACCTGAGAACTGTGAAAGAATAACATGATACACTTTGTTCTAGAAAACTAGTTCAGGTTTTCATTGCCACTTACTATAAATACATTCTTACAAATCCTACAGCCATCTGTACCTGGAACAGAGTCCCCAGAACACCTACTGGTCCATCCGCAATGTAAAAGGTGGAATGCATTAGCCTTTCCAAATGACTCCTTTTACTGGTTTAATAAAATATGCTGATAATTATGTTGCTACAAAAGACAGTTATGTTTTAAGTTTCATAGATATCATCAATATGCTCTTACATGGCATAGGATCTTTGTGTTTTTTTCCCTACTCCAAAAAATTTACTAGGACTTCACAAAGGGAAAATCTTCCCTTTGAAGGGTGGAATCAGTGCATAATATGTGGATGGAAGAAAGGATATAATCTTAAAAAGTCCCTAAGCTTAAAATGTTCAAGCAGAGCCCTAAGTGAAGCTGAACATTAAGCCAATAATCTACTCTAATGGTCATGCCCTCTCAGCAGGGACACACATATTGTATCAGGAATCTGCAGCCAAGCTTGTTGGCAGTGCCCATTATCATGAGTTCTGGGACTCCACTCTGCGCCCCTAAGTAAAAATACCCAACTCACTCAGAGCTCACTCACCATCTCCACATCTGACACAGGCCCAAAACTGGTCACATAAATGTCTGTTTTGACTTCAGTGACAGCACCTGAAATTAGACCAGAGGGATGGGGCAATTATCACCAGGAATGTTAAGTGGACTGAACTTAGTGACTCTACCATAAAACCACTTCTCGTGGCCAGAATCTGTAACCCATCCTATTACACTCCAGCAGTGGGAGTCCTCAGGTCTTTCAACTCTAAAAACTTATATCAGTTGCCTTATTTTGAATTCATTCTAGTCAAATTGGGGGAACATTCAGAAATAAAAGAGAACTAGATTAGTTCTAATAAAAATGATAGTAACTAATGTATATTGATGGCTTTCATGGGTAAATGTTAAGAAAATTGTTTTACATGGAGAATCTCATTCTATTTTCACACAACTCTATGGGGCATGCATTGATCATACACCCACACTACAGTTGAGGATACTGAGGCTTGGAGAGTCCAAGTAACTTGCATAAGGTCATTAACTGAGGAAGAGGTAGAGGCAAGATGGGAGAAAACACAGACTCTCTCCAGTATCTCTAAACCTTACCACTCTGACATATCACCTCCTTTCTGACTCCTCTGGGTCTTGGAAGGGTAGTTAAGGGGGGGGAATGAGACTAAAGGTATTTGATATAGCAAAAATGCAACTTCTTACCTCCAAATCCTGGTCGCAGCCTATTGTCGTAGCCTTCAAGCAAGTTGTCGAGGATCCGGCTGATGTTTTCTGAGTAGAAGTTGCCTTCATCTTCAACATTCCCTAGGGAATTTTCCATCCTGTAAGTAGAAAGTCGATGATCCTCATTCTCAGCCTCAGATACATGTTTTGTTTAATCTACCCTAGTCTGCCCCAACACGAATACATGATACATCACCCCTGGCTACTTTCAAGATTTGATATAGAAGTCACCCAATGAATGCATATTTTCTATTTCCTCTGAGCTGAAAATAAAAATCAGGGGAAAAAATATCTTACTCACCATAGAATAATGTACAGCCAGGGCAGAGGCGATGCCATGCTAGGGTGCACTGAAATGCCCCGTTCACCCTTCTCCTGGTTTCTCCCCTGCAACTAGCCCTCCTTTGCTGATCAACTAGAGAAATCTTCCAGACCCCTCATATTCCTGTTCCTTGTTTTCTTTCAATCAGTAATCCAACAGATAGATACAGAAGTTGTCAGAAAACTTTGAAGGTTCTCCTGGCTCTCTTCTTTGTGTCTTTTCACTTGGAACAAGGTAGTTTATGGTCTTAGACTATGTCCTGCAGGCACCAGCCTCCTCTGAATGACTCAGTTGGGAAATGAGAGTCTGAAGGGACAGTGCATGGTCAGAGAGCAGTGACAATAATCAAATAAGGCATTAGGCGAGATTAGAAGGAAGAAATCCACTGCTAGTTTTGGCATGGAATTAGCAGGCCCCTGTGAGGAAATCTGGAAAGCAGTGGCATCTTGCTGATTGAGATTATGTTCCAATGGGCTCAGCATTTATTATTTCTATGGTTCACAGAAGGATTCCTACACCGCTCTTACTGTCTGAAAAAGTCTAACAATATTGAAACCCCCTTGAATTCTCTTTGTGGTTTTCATGAGCTTTATTGGCTTCGGACACACCTTTCCTCTGTATTTAAAAATTTTCCCTCACTACTTCTTTACTAACTCTGGTGACACAATGGAACAACTCCTGGCATCTTGCTATTAAGTATTTTTTTAAGTACTTTGCTGATCCTTTCTGTCAAAGGTATGTCATTTCACACTGGGACAGAAATAGGTTCTACCACTATCTTTGGAAAACTGGTCAGTTTTTTGAATGTTGCCCATAGGAGACAAACTCGGAGACATAATAGGGTAAGGTTCCCTATACAGAAATGCTGCGAGAATAATGCATCCATAGACATGGTTAATGAGGACGCTACTGGGCTATTTTACTAGGCTTGTCACAGGTCCAAAGCAAAATGTCTGCATCCAAGAAATAGCATTCTATACTCAGTTCTGGTAGGAGGAAATTGTATTAGGATAAAAAGTCCACTTGAGCCTTATAATTTTAATTTTTAAATAAAAATAATGAAAATCAAATTTAAAATATTGTGCCTATAAATATTTAAATTCAGGAATATAGGATAAGGAATCAAATGTCTCAATTCATCATCCTCTTTCCAATTCGACTTATCACCTATCCAGTTCACAGTCTGTATCTTCAGAGTCTAACTGGACAAGGGCCATGGTAACTGTTACGGAAACACAGCACAGTCTTCAGGGTCATATTGAAACACAGGATATAAATAAATTGAGGAGCATTTTAATATTAATAAATTTGCTATAGCCAAGAAGAAATAATGTAAAATAGGAAGATTATAAGATTTCCTGTAGATTATTTAAGGAATACTCAAGCTCACAGTTATATGGAATTTTCTGATTACCCAGGAAAAAACATGAATACCCTCCAGCATACCTAGAAAGTACTTTATGGCACATTTTTTTCTCACATTTTTTTTTTTGTTTTTACTTGTGCTGCAAGTAAAACCATATCCCAGTCCTAGTTATCACCTCTGAAGCCATACACAATAATTTCTCAGGGAAAGACTACATGGCAGACATTTAAACCAAGATACCTACCATGTGCCCTCTAATTTAAGTGAAATGCTCCTAAAACTGTTTCCTGTTCATTATAGGATCCAGTTTATCTCTTCTCATTCTTTTCACCCCCTGAATATCTGGTATATATTATGCTGTTAAATAATTCTCTGTTCACTTTTACTATGACTTAGTTTTTTTCAACCATATTCAACCACAAATTCTACCTTTATCCCTGTTACCTTGTTAGATTTGTATCATTTTTCTTTCGAAATATTTACCACCCATCTCTGATTTGTGTCATCACACCTTAGTGAGGTTGTTAGGACTGAATTTTTTTCACATGGTGAGTAACAATTGATCATAGGTGATACTGTGCATTTTTACATATATTCCTATAAAATAAGCATGTTTCTCATTGAAATTATTAAATAAGCAACAAATAATAGTTAAGTTACATTTGTCTCTAAACAGAAGATTAGCGCAACTGATTCTATTTTTTCATAGGTTTTAAGTAGTAATCAATTAACAAAGGAGAAGGAAGATCTTCTCTACTCTCAATAGAAAAAAAGTTACTAGAGCTGGAAGGGATAATAAGTTATACAATTTTAGTCATTTCAACACTGTTGACCTCATTTTTAAATGAATGTGGTAGACCTGGCAATATCTAAAGGACTTGAGCTCTGTAATTCTTTGGATTTGAATTTTATGTTAATATATACACATATATGTAATGAAGTCCCTTGGTCACACATCCTTGTCAGAACTAGGGCAGACAAGGTCTATTAGCAGCCTTATTAATTGGATTACAATTATTATTTTCCTATAAAACTATCAAGAAAAGAGAGAGTTCAAGATCATGACAGTCACTATAACTCTGGGAGATGTATAGTCAGTTATGTAGTATTCTGACTATGCAAATCAAGCTGCAGAGCTCCTGCATTTAAAGAATTGCCTTCTTCTGGCAAATTTGAGACTAAATATCTCATATTTGTCCATTTTACAACTTTTTCTCCAAAATATGTTCTCTTTTCTGAACCACCTTTGACAACCACTTGCTTGCTTTTTATCTTCATTGGCAAGTCTATACCTACCATCCTTCCCAACAAAACTGCTATTAAAATGCAAGACTCTGAAAGAGGACAACATGAAAAAAATCGTATCTCTCTTCTGTACCCTATACTTCAATTTCTTACACCACCATCACTAACACAATATTTGTGTGTATAAAATGACTTATTAAAGATTCAAGGAAACTCGAGAAATTATTGCACAGAAAGAGCAAGCTTGACAACAGACACTAAATGGTACTTTCCATGGTACAAAATAACCCATATATATGTGCATATATAAATGAAAAAAATATTCAAGGTAGGTACAGAATTGCCTCTTGGACAACACCAACTTGCATCATCTCCCTGAAAATCTTCATTGATCTTTTCAAAAAACAATGTCGGGATTGTGCTTTCCCTAGAAATTTTGTTCCTCCCACATGTAGGAGAGAATATACACCAGCATCCAGTATGTAAAGGTCAAGCATGCTGCTAAATACCCTACCGTGCATAGGACAGCCCCCACAAAAATAATTATCTGGCCCAAATATCAGTAGTGCCAGGGTTAAGAGAACTTGCTGTAAAATAACACCACTCAAACTTGGCTAAAATGATCTTGGATGGGATGGTTTAGCTTCTTAAATTCTGACACTCCAAAATATCTCCATCAGCATAATGTTCCTGTAAGTCTTCACTTCCCACTTATGATATATTGAGCATGGCACTTCCGAAAACATACAAGCATACGCATATTTCTGAAACCAATAAGGATATAAAATGGACACACAATTAAGGAAATTAAAGGAAGCAACACTTTGAAAGAGTGTATTTGCAAATTTATGAAAGAATTACTATATAAACATGCAATAAATTAAAATCAGGCAAAAAATTGACATCTGGATATATGATATAAATTTATGATTCATTATAAAAAATGGTCAAGAGAGATGAAAGATAGTCATCATTAATGTAATTAAACAAAACTTTATACATTTATTCTATGGTCAGTCATAGATTGTTAAGAATGTTTGTAGGTTGATGTTCAGTGCAGTGCTTTCAATGGTATATGTAATTTGCATTTGGGGAAGGGCAATTCTTCATGAGGTGAGACTGTCCTACAGATTTCAGGATATTTAAGATTTCTTGCTCAGTCCACTAAATGTCTCTAGTGTTCTCCGTACCTGGTAACATTCAAATATACTCCCCAACATTTTGAAATGCTTCCTAGAGGGAAATTATTACTCCTGCTTGAAAGCCACTCTGAATGCAGCGCACTGAAATTAGACCAGAGTTCATAGTTAAAACTAAAATATTCTAAGGGCTCCTTAGGCTAAATTCAAAGAAATGTCTAGTATTTGGGTCAGCCATCTTTCTGCATCCACAAGCTCATAGATAGGTTTACAGTAGATTAGCAAAACTAATCCCCTCAACCTATCCCCATTCCAAATTAAGTACATAATTGGGGAGAGGAAAGGAGAACTAGATCTTTGGGGAAAAGCAGTACCTTAGGGAGAGGTTCCTATCATCTTCTCTAGGAAGGAGGAGGCAACCCCTCCCTGACAAGTGAGGGATACTGTGAGTCATTCACTGCTAAAAAGTGAGAATGCCTAGAAAAAGAACCACTGATATCTTTCTTGGCAATACACTTGCTGTGAGAAAAGCAAAAGGCCCACATGGTAGCACCATAGAGTAACAAGGGGGAGTTTGACATTATTCCTCTGAAGAACAGTAATGTACATGAACATATAGACTGGTCTGTCTACCTTCCATTCTATAGACAGAAGGCCTCCCAGAGCAGCAAATTTTAGTGGGGCTTGAACACAGTGTGATGTAGTGGTTGAGAAAAGAGTGGGGTGACCCTCTCCATTCCAATTCTAGGAAGAATTGCATGAATGCAAAAGTAGATTTCCAGTGGTTCATGTGGCTCTGTATGAAGGAACAGAGAGGCAAGTGGAAGGGCAGTAGCAATGACATCCAGGTAGCCACCAGACCAAGTAAGAGGAGGCCCATCTCTGAAAACGGTGTTGGGGGTATGTAATGATTGGAAGCCATTTTATCTATCCAACCTGTTGCAGAAGGTGCTAGAGCAATGCTAAACAGCAATTTCTTCTCTGCTTCTGAAGCAATTTTCTTGAACAGGCCCTTTTCTCCCAACATTATTACGTGGCATCGAAGTCTGAACAAAGAAAGACATTTACAGATAAACTTTGCATTGGCTAAAGGCAAAATCTCACCAGTTATGTTCTATACATTCTGTATTTTATAATTGGCTCCTCCTTAAACATGTATGGCTTAACAATAATCCTCAAATATTTTAAAGCCTGTTTGGAGATGGCTGGAAAGAAGAATATCAATGATATTTAGGCCAAAAAGTAAGTGGAACTAGGCTTTTAACAGAGTTTCTAAGAGGAAACTGAATTAAAATATTTCTTTTGAGATATTTATCATAGCTAAAATTATTGGTAACATGTAAGATTGGGGCTGCATAAACATATGACATAATTAGTTTCATTATACAGCATATTGAGATGCACAAATCATTTGTATGTACAATATCTCATTTGGCTCTTCCTCCTCAAATGAGTCAGGCAGAATGATGTTATTATTCTCATAACTTGGTACATGGAAGGCTTAGAGAAATAAAAATTTCTCCATGATTGCAAAGCCAGTAGAGGGCAAAGCTGGGTGCAGTCTTTAGATTCTCAGTCAAGTGATTTTTAGCTGAGCCAGCTG